AAATTCTAGATCTAAATCGTGTGAGAATGAGCATGGAATGTGTGATTTACTGAGCAATTCAAGTCATTTTGTGTTGTACCAAATATGTTTCATCATGAAAAAGAAGTTTTCACATGTGAAAAGTGGTCCCAAGCAACTTTTAGGTCATTTTTAACTACGGGTCATGTACCAAAGATGCAGAGTTGTCACTATGTACAAGCTTAGGCCAAAAGGATTCTACTCGCGCGTTTCTTGACTTTCTTTTTGCCAAATGATCCTTTCATGGAGTAGAACACAATGAAAAATGAACCACTTCAAAAGGATGCTTGATGTGAAAATGACATGAGTTAAAACTTGGGGTCGTGGCACTGAAAAATAGGTCTGGCATTAGGTTAAACAGGTCATGACCTAGTTTTGTGCACAAACGACTTCTAACATTTGATGGACTTAGAGCTTGAATTGATGTTTTACCTTTAAAGAAAATTTGTAGAGGACATAAAAAGGAGCATTTGGCTCAAATAAGGCCTACAAAATATTGAGAAATGAGAAAGTTATGGTGTTTGGACCAAAATCATGCCATACTTGGTTTTTAGGTCACCTACACTTGTACCAACTTGTGATTTTTTGACCTTTTATTGCATATAATTATGATCATTTGGACATCAAATGATAGAAGCTTGAATAACCTTTGAATATTCTTCAGGATTTCTTGAGAATTTTGAATGAAAAGGACATGGAAATAAACACATGAACCCTAACTTGAAACTACTTCAAATATGCCTCAAACTTGAACTTCTTTTGATCATTTGTTGTTGAATGAAGATTGACACGAATGTGAACTAATATTATAGGTCATGCCTTGAATAATAAGCCTTGTTGACCACTTGTTGACCTTGCCTTTGACTTAGGGGATCGAAACCCTAATTTAGAAACCCAACTTGATCTCTTGATGAAAAAGCCATACCTTACAAAATAAGAAAAATAAATGAAGTATATTTTTGTATTTTGAATAAGGTTAGTAGAGTATAAGAGCAAGTAAACACAAAGATACAAGAAAACACAAAAGGGTTCTTGATGATCTTCCACACAAAAAACCCAAAGACCAAAGGGGTTAGGAGGTTACCAAGTTTGTGATCTTGGTGAAATGCAATGATATGATAAGTGGGATCTTAAGGGTAAAAATTAGGGTATGACAATAATTTATTATACCATTAGATTAAACGATTATGTATAGCCTGGTTGAGTCTAAAAATCGATTGGGATAATCTCTTAATGATTCGAAATGGCTAAATATCAAAACCTTCCATTTTTTGCATTAACAATCAATTACTTGTGGGTCTCTAATCGATTATCCTAATCAATTATTCTATTAATTTGGCTCATGGATTGTTTCCTTCTTAAGCCACAATTTATCATATATAAAGGAGGCCTCTCCTCGTTCAAAAACACACAAGAATTCAAAGTTTTCCTATTTTAAACACTTTATCACTCTCTTCCTCTCTCTTTTAATATTTTCTTCACCAAAGTTTCCTTAGTGCCCTGTGAGTGAAAATTTCTTGTGAGAAAAGTGATGTATTGTTGTCGTGCCACTATTTTATTTTAAGAGTGTGATACTCTTGAAAGATCGAGTTTGATTTTTGAGACCAACCATTAAAAACATATGTTTGACTATAGAACTCAACCTATAAAAGTTTTGTTTGATTATTGAGATTAGCCAATTTAATCTCTACTTGGTTTGTGAGTTTATTCAATGGAAAATATCTCTTTTTCTTAGGGGGTAAGTAGTTGTAAAATCTCTCCATCCACTTGTATCAAAGATTTGTGGACATAACCTATAAAAGCTCAAGATTTTAGTGAACTCTCAAGAAAATCTATTGGGGGCATGACTAGGCGAACATTCGGTCGAACCTGTATAAATCTCAGTGCCATATCTCTACCATATCTCTTTAAGTTGTGTCATTTAATTTATTGCTTTATTTATTTTTGCTTCTTTTCTATTTGATTTTGTGAATACAAATAACACAAATTGTTTTATAAGTAAGAAAACTTAAATTAATCACGAATTTTAAATACTACAATTCACTCCTCTCTTGTGCTTGGATTCACTTGTCCAACAAATAAAACTATAAACTTATTAGTTGATAGGGATTTAAATTTCCAAAAGTGTTTTTGATTTTGTCAACTAGATCAAATGTTAATCCTTCTTGGTGGAGTATATGACTTCTTTGTCTTTGCATAAAGGACTTACAAAATGGTTCTCATGTCATCTCTTATGACAACAAAAAAAAAATTAAAAGGTAACAATATAAAGTGTTAGTACTTCTTATAATTATAAGTTGATTTAATCTAGCTAGATTGTTTAATGTATTTTTTTGGAATAAAATTGGCAAGACTCTTTTCAACTCAGTCGAGAGTTTAAATGAGAAAGCTTAGCTTTCTAAGATGTCCAAGACCTCATTGTCTCAACTCTAAGCTTTCTAAGATATTCAAGCCCTCCTCGTCTCAACTGAAGAGTTAAGTGAGATAACCGACTTTGTTGTTATTGTGACTATTCTTAGTTCTCTTTTATATGCAAAACCTTTGATAACACAAATGTATTGAGCATTGCATATACATTAAAATTCATAAGATAATCATTGGCATGAATCTCATAAATTAATTTTATTTCTCGCATAAGAAAAAATGAATTTGAAAGAAATGATATGATCATTCTTTAAATGTACATGCTTTGAAAGGATGATTATATCTTATGACAAGAAAAAAAAGGTAACAACATCGAGTGTTAATACTTCATAGATTTATAAGTTAATTTAAACTATCTAGAGTGTTTGATCTATTTTTTTGGAATAAAAAATATATATGTTATTTTCAACAAAGTTGAAAATTTAAGTGCGAGACTTTGGTTTCTAAGTTGTCAAATCCCTCCTCATGCCAACCAAAAAGCAAAGCGAGAGAACTGACTTTGTTGTTATTGAGACTATTTTTAGTCTCATTTTATATGAAAAATATTTGATAACATAATTGTATAGGACATTGCATATACAATTAAAAGTCACCGGCTAATCAATGATATGAATCTCATAACTAAATGTATTTCCTGAATAGAAAAAACTACATATGGAGGCGAGAATATGATCAACCTTTTAGGTGTCCATGCTCTTTGAATTGTTATATTTCCTTTATCTCCAATTCTTTGTTGGAGTGGATCATATTCATCCTATAGTTCTTCACATTTAGGTCCTACAGATCTTCCAACAAAAATAGTAAAAACTCATTGATATTTTAAAGGAAATTAAAATTTTCTTATGTAAGTAACGTGTACGAGCATCTATATCATTATCAATTACTCTCTCGGTTCTTCTTAAGTGTCATTTTAGCATAAAGCTCTTCAATTAAAATAATTGATTATTAGAGTTATTTTTCCTATTATGTCCTTATTTATTCTCTCTTTCCAATAACTAATTGAGAAAATAATTAATTTTATGGAAAACGTGAAGTAGAGTTATTGAGAAAGTAAGAGTATAATTAATAAATTATAACATTATACTATAAAAACGACATTTAAATGGAAACAATTTTTTTCTTTCTAAAATAACACTTAAAAGGAATGAGAGGGAGTAATCAATAATGCCATGTGTGTATATTTCATAAGAATTTCAATTTAATTTAAAATAATATTACTAAAATTAAATTTAAGTAATTTTCATGTATCTCAGTTGTTAGGCACTGGGTTTGTTGGAGGGTTGATGTCCTCTTCAGATAAGGTCGAGGTAGGCTTTACGTCCTTGAAGGTTGCAGTAGGCTTTATGTTGTTGCATATCGTAGTACACATTATGCCCTAGGAGACATGGTCATCTTCAAAGAAGATACTGATTGGCTTTATTTCATAAGATATCGCAGTAGACTTTATGTTGTGAGAGGCTATGATTATGCTTGTTTAGTGAATATTGTATCTGCTTTACAAGGATTCATTCACCTTTGATATGTATGTATGTGCTTATTAGTTATATGATTTGCCTTCTTCCTTATAAGATGCCAAATGATAATAAACGCTTGTTAGGAACAAAATTACCTATATTTCATAGCTGCCAAATGATCATGTGAATAAAATTGATTTTATTTAATATTTAAAGATTGTTAGTGCTAAAATACCATAATAGGAGTTATAAATATGAAATAAATAAAATAAAACAAATTTTTACTTACCTTTTATACATGTTTTTGATGTTTCGTTCGGTCTTCACTCTCTAGGCAGCCATTCTCATCTTTGCAATGTTAACTATCAGCTTTCCATTCTTGCAATAGATAAGACCAGAGGTCCACAACACAATTTACTAGATGCATAATATTTGCAATGTTAATTTTCGACTACCCATTATTAGCTTGTGCCATACAAGGCTTGTAGTAGATAAATTCTTAGTTGATATTGGGGGCGTGGAGACTAGATCAAATGTTCTTGTAGTGAAGTTTATTGAGGTCGAAGGAAATGGTAATTACTATGAAAATAATTGTTTATGATTATGGCGGTGGTACAAAACTAAGTCGTCTTTGGAGTTAGGGGTGGAAATAGGCTGTGCCAAACTAGGTTTTACCAAACCTAAGCCTGGCCTGTCAAAAAGCCGAAGCCTAAGTCTGACGTATAACCTATCATAGGCTTACTTTTAGGTACGAGTATGACCTTTTTGAAAGTCTGGTTAGCTTGTTAAGCTATATAAAAGCCTATTTATTCTATACATATGTGAAACAACCGGCTGAACAGTCATCTGATAAAAATATCAATGAAGTCGCCATCGAACATTTTTTATCCCACAAGAAGAGAAAGGTAAACATTGAGTAAACATGAGAAGGGGTGAAATCAAGATCAAACGACCGAGAGATCGGGTAAGGGAGTCTGTTACGCGAGGGGAATATATTAGCACCCCACACGCCCGTAGTATTCTACGATATTAACTCTTGTTGTTCTAATCTTATAGGTGTGTTTAAACTATGCTTACTGTTTACTAGTGCTAAAAGGTGAATGCATGCAAAAGAAAAGAGAAAAGAATGTAGGGAAAATAAAGTTGTACTCGCTTGGGCCCTACCCCAAAGTCTACGTATCATTTTTAAGGAATCAGAACTACTGTAGTTCGGATTCAAAAGTTTTTGTTGATTTGTATTTTTTAATGAACAATATTAATTTCGCCTTCTGCCGCAACTCGACCTTGGGAGACTTACGCGCCAACACAAAAGTGAATTAACATGTTCTTTTGAAAAAGTTTTGAAAGAAAAGCCTGAAGGTGAAAAGAGTTTGTGTTGGTTGGTGTTTTTGCTTGTGGATAATGATTAATTGATCTCAAGAGAGAGATTTTAATCACTTATCCACTTATTTATGAAATAAGTCTTTAGGACTTGAACCATACCAAGGCTCAGAATGGAAAAACAATAAGATCGAGAAGAGACCCGCTTATCATTTTCTACGTTTAACAAAGACATAATTCTCATCAGTAATTTTTAGGTGTTTGAAGTTTGCAAGAAAAAGAAGTTTTTGTTTTAATGCAAATGCGAAAGGGGAAAGAAAAGTTTAAGGGGAGACTAACCTAAATCTATCCCTAATGTTATCATACAATGATTGATCATAAAGTCGAATTTTGAAGAGAAATTTCTATCCTAAATTGACATGCTTGAATTACAACCTAAAGATTATTTAACTCAATTTTAATCAATGGATTAAAATTGGACTAAAGTCCTAAGGGAGGATAAGAATAAAATCATCCATAATTCGCATCAAGATAATTCCCAAAGGTGGCGAAAGAATATACAACGTAAAAAAAAAGAATTAAAACCAATGATTAAAATCGCCCTAAAAAAGATTAGTAAGAGGAAGAAAATAAATTCCTATTTAAATTCTAAATTCTAGCATATATATTTTTATTGTCCCATTTTTGACAATTTTTATCTATGTATTTTTCTTACTAAAAAAAAATGAGGACTAAAAAATTAAAGGAAAATTCATAAGGAGAAAACAAAAGAAATAAGGGTGACGAATCCGGATATGGGGGTATCATCTCATAATTGGGCACCCAGGCCCAGTTAACACAGCCTAAGAGATATATTTGTTCTGGAAAAAAGTTCTTAACATGATGGAAAAAAATACACGGGCTGGGAGCTTAACATTTTTCTATTGGGCTTTAGGATAGTGAACCATGGCCTAACGAATAGGGATCCTTACCCACAGTTGATCTTCCTAATTTCTTTCGTACCCTAGTCTTAAACCAACAACACCGCCTGTCATCGCCCTTGGCAGCGCTTCTCTATGTAGAAAGGGACGACACTAACCTTTCCGGATTCATCTCTTCTCCCTGAATTCAAACCCTAACCTTTCTCTCTCTTATTTCTATGCTATGACTAATATCTTACAGTAATAAATCGAAACCCTAAGAGAATAAAAATGATGAAATTAAACGAAAATCATGTTGGATTTGAAGTGATAAAGACACGATGACTGTTCAGTAGGCATCAAGATTTCCAACGACATCAAGAAATGGTAAAATGATAAAGAAATGGAAGAGATTGAGGCTTACCTGCCGGAGACACTCCGACGGTGTTCAGATGCGATGAAGACAATGATAATACCAAAGAATGATTTCCAGAAGCGTAGGTATGCGTATTTTACTCGATTCTTCGCTTCTCACCTTTCTCAATCTTCTTCCAGTTTGATCTACTTTGTCACATATTCTTGTTCTTCCTTTTGGTAAGAGTGGGTTGAGGTGCTATAAAAGCTGGAAGATGATTGAGGAGTGAAGGTTGCAGAATTGAGAGAAGAAGGTAGCAGAATTGAGAGAAGAAGGTAGAAGAAGAAGGTGAAGGTGGCAGAAGAAGGTGAGAGTGGTAGAAGAAGGTGAGAGTGGAAGGTGAGGTATGAAGGGAATATACCTTGCTGAAATCGATAGAGGGTATTATATAGGGATGAAGAAGAAGTTAGTTACAACTTAAAGTCCCTAGGCCACATGATCAAAGGGAATTGGTTAACAGATGAAGGGTGGAGATTGAAGGTGGAAGTTAGTTAGAACTTGGCTAACCGTTTTTTCTGTTATGGTTAGTTTCTATTGCAGCTAATTTGAAACTTAGTTAGAATATGTTATGAATTGGTTAGAAGGTTAGGGAGTTAGTTAGGTAACTCGAATTTCTGTTATAAGATGTTAGTTGTTAGTGCATTATCATGACCAGCTCATTTGAATATTAGTTAGACTACCATAATCAAAATCTGTACAACAAAAACTGTTAGTAGTTAGGCTACAAAAGAAACACCACTCTCTATTATCGCATGAGGTTTTAAAGGAAATGTTAGCTTAGAGTACAAAGCTATTAGTAAAAACCACTGAGAGAAGAAAAAAACTTGTTATGCTGTAAGGAAAGTCAACCACAGAATTTCTGAAGTCCTGTTTGATGATTAAGACATTAATTGAAATTTAGTTACTAACTATTAAAGGCTAGTTAGAGAATCCCTGACATTATCTCTTCTGATTTAAAATTTTGATTTATCGTGAATTTGCTTTTATGAGCTGGAAAACGTTACAATTCCTGATTTTCCGACTTTCACTATTTTCTGCAATCTATATTACGTCTTTGGTTCTTCTGTACTTTTTGAATGCGATCCAATTCTTATTCAGTATCCTCGATCCCGACTTCAGGTTCCAAGGCTACTTTATCTATACTTGGATCCCTCAGTTGTAGAAGATGAATAACATGTTGGTCAATAGGGCGCAACTCACTCTCGAAGGCTGATAATGCCTGCCCATCTGTAACTGCAGCTTCTGCCATCTGGTTCATATCTGTTAAGCATGTCAACAAGTATTTGGAAGCCATGATACATGAGACCTATTTATTCCATCAAGAACTGCTGCTGTTTCAGACCTATCCTCCAATATTTATGAACTGTCCAATTGGAGAAACAACCAGGTGAGCATAGCATATTGAAGCAACAACAAATATGACAGTAGTACTCCTCTGAGGTATCTTCTTTTTTTTTGTAATGAAACTGGCTTGATTTTGTGCATGAATACAGGACGATTTATTTGAAAATTATTTCGTTATTATTCTGTCCAAATATATGCAGGGCTGCAAATACTCATGCGCAAATTCTGGACCTAATATTTACTTCTGGCGTTTTCTTTCGCTTTATTGGACTTTTGGAAAATGGGTGCAAGCTGCTAACCGGTGGAATGACAAATATCGTGTCTGTTACCTTTCTCTTGCTAAGTCATGTGATGCAGGTTACATGTCTTAAGCTGTCAAAGTGATGATGAAAGGCTTCCTTTAGGGCATACGCGACAGCTCGTGGCTGTTTGAACTTATTATTCTAATGTGAACATGGATTTGCAACTGATGCAACAGGTTTTGCGCATGCTTTGTAAGCCTGATATGGCACCCGATTCATTAGTAGGCGGACAATTTGATGTTGATTGGAGCCGTTCCTGTTAGTGCACCATCTGTTTAGGCCTGTGTTGATTTAGAAGATTAGGCCTAGGACTAGATTTCCATGTAAATCTTATAAATGACTTGTAATGTATTTTGTAACTTGAACATTCTTTGAAATATTTGGATGGATCCTAACTTTTTGGATTACAGCTCTTGATTTTTGTAATGTGGAGATATGATACCATTAGTTGTTTTAGAAATTTTAAGTGTAAACGAAAGCTACTTGAAACTTGTGATTGGATCTGAATAAAATATCCCAAATTAACCCATGAATAAGCTTGAACCCAAGAATTTTAATGGAACTTTGGAATATTAACCCACTCGCCCAACTTACACCAAAATGGACACTTGGATGAATGAAAATGTCTTGCCCCTTCAAATATTGTTTCTTGCATTTGAAATGAGCTATGAACTATTTTTTGCACTTTAAGAAATTTTGGTATTCTTGATAAATCCTCAACCCCTAACTTCAATTCTCCATAATCAAATTACCTTGCAAATTGGTCCACTAGTCACATTAACTTAAAAACTAATGACTTCACAACAAAATCAATGTCCTTGAGAAGCACAAGACTTGTTATAGAACACCATAACAAAACTCTAATCTACGCTCCATTGCTTGTAGACTAACCAAAAATTTAGAGGTAATCAGCTTTACCAGGCATATGGACTTTAATCACTGTGAGACCCCTGATATCGCAAAACTACCAAATATTGACCCAATGTGCTCTTATTGAAATGAAAAATTTACGCCATGTTAGTAACCTAATGATGAATGCGATGTTAAGCCTAAGCCAAATATAAGTGTAATTAGGAGGGTAAACTTTGGGGGTGCAATAACTGCCCCTATTTAATCACTTTCAACCCGAAGGTGATATTGGCGTCAACCTTTCGAAATTTCAGGGTGGAAGAAGATTAAATACATAAAGAACCTGAAAATTTGCACTCCAAAGCCAGTCAGGTATCATTATATTTTTTTTTTGTTTTTCTGTATTTTCTATTTTTTTTGGATTACAATGGTTATCTGAGTAAATATCTTGAATGTCGGGTCAAAGTTAAACATACAAGACACGTATAAGATAATCAAGAAAAAGATCCACTACAATGGACTCTAACGGAGATATCTAACAAGAAAGAGACCTAACAAAACAAACTCAATCAAAGGTGTCGGGAAAAGATGGGATCTCACAGTGATTTTACCCAAAGATAACAAAGATGAATGAGACTTAACAGAGCATCTCAAATGAAACTATCAGACATGGAAGGGATCTAACAAAGCGACCTCGACCAAATATATTAAGGAAGGAAGAAATATAACACAACGGCTTTAATCAAAATTATCAAATTAGGAAGAGACCTAACACAACAGACTCAAACGAAGATATCGGAGATTGGAAGAGATCTAACACAGATATCTTGACCGAAGACATCGGAGATGGAAGAGATCTAACAAAGTGATCTCGACCAGATGTATCAAGAAAGGAAGAAATCTAACACAATGATTTCAACCAAGGACATCAAAGCAGGAAGAGACCTAACACAGCGGACTCGACCGAAGATATCAAAGATGGAAGAGATCTAACTAAGTGATCTCGACCAGAGACATCAAGGAAGGATGAAATCTAACACATCAATTTCAACCAAAGATATAAAAAGAGGAAGAGACCTAACACAACGGACTCGACCGAAGATATCGAAGATGGAAGAGATCTAACAAAGTGATATTGATCGGAGATATCGAAGATGGAAGAGACCTAACACAGTGATCTCGACCGAATATATCAAGGAAGGATGAAATCTAACACGGAGATTTCAACCAAAGATATCAAAAGAGGAAGAGACCTAGCACAGTAGACTCGACCGAAGATATTGAAGATGGAAGAGGTCTAACAAAGTGATCTCGACCGGAGATATCTAAGATGGAAGAAATCTAACACAATGATCTCGACCGGATATATCAAGGAAGGATAAAATCTAACACATTTATTTCAACCAAAGATATCAAAAGAGGAAGAGACCTAACACAGCGGAATCGACCGAAGATATCGAAGATGGAAAAGATCTAACAAAGTGATCTCGACCAGAGATATCGAATATAAAACAATGATCTCGATCGTATATATCAAGGAAGGATGAAATCTAACACAGTGACTTCAACCAAAGATATCGAAAGAGGAAGAGATCTAACACATCGGACTCGACTGAAGATATCGAAGATGGAAGAGATCTAACAAAGTGATCTCAACTGGATATATAAAGGAAGAACGAATAACTTTAGATAGAATCTTGAAGAAAGAGCACCGATTGAAGGCTAACTTTAACCAACAAAAAAGAGGGACACCAGGCGAAGGTGAATTTGCCAGAGAAAAGAGGACTAACCGAAGGTAGACTTTTAGAGGGAGAATACCGACCAAAGGCGGACTTTATGGGGATACTACGTGACATATTCCATTGAGGAAACTCGACGAGGATTTCAACCAAAGTAAATTTACAAAGAACGCCGCATCAAAGACGAACTTTATAGGAGAAAGAAATCAGTCGAAGGGTACTCTGACAAGGATACCAACCGAAGACAGATTTAAGGGAAAAGAACTTACTAGGGATTCACATATGTGTTGAACCCAAATAGAATGCCGGTCAAAGGCGGACTTGTGATTAGAAAAGAGAGACCAACTATAGGGACCCTAAACAAGGATTACCAACACATGTTGGAATTTAAGAGTTGCAAATACGCAAGAACTACAAAATTCCCCAGGGCAAAGGCGAGGTGTAATTCTTCAAGAGTGGCAATTATTTGAATCACCACACACCAAGTATGGATACTCTAACACTTGAGAAGCAAGAAAGGCTATACACCGACTCTTACTCGCACTCTAATTGCAACGACAAACATGGGTAAAAATAACCAAGGGCTTGCAAGGGAAAGAGAAAACCATGACTTACTAGGGAAATGGAGAACACCAAAGACCCGACTGGTGGTACATCAAACAGACTCCACTGGGGAAACATAATAGGATCACCCTAGGCTTATTATGGAGATAAATCAAATATGAGTGCATAACAATCTGGTTACCACAAGTGAACATAATTGGCTTATACTTATGCATGTTTAATTTTTTTTATAGCGTAGTGCTCTATACAATGGAAATGCTACACGTTTTGGTAGATGCAATGTAATGATGCGTGTTTAGCAATGCATTGGAGAAAGCACGTAAATAATAGGCTGCTGAGAAGACAATGAACTTCCGAACGACTATTCTTGCATATCTGATCTTCTATAGAGAAAAGGAAATGTGAACTTCAATGGGGAACCGAGATTCAAAACCATCAACCTCCAAAGATCGAATATCATTAGGGAAGTAACTTCCCGGAGAAGATACTGCAAAAATAAATTGCAGTTCAGAGGAAATTTTGAATTCTGATCAAACTCCTAACTTCCTGGGGAACAAATTCTTTATCTTCTGTTAAAAAGAGGAGATCTTCGTTGGGGATGGAACAAACATCTTGGGATAAAAACTCCATTGGTGACATCTAAACAAAATCTTTTGTCACCGGGGATGAACGAGTTATGACTGGAGCTCCCATGCACACCATATTGGGGAGACATGACACTTGCTCCATTAGGAAAAGAAGAATTAGCTCCACTGGGGAATAATATATAAGTTACTCTGGTAGGTCCTCGAAATTTGGCTTCGACTTGGGATAAAGACTGCCTCTCACACTAAATAATAGAGAAAGATTCGGATGACGGTATCAACAACACCAACCATAACGGAGATAACCATTCTCAAACGAGGATATGACATCTATGGGGATACATAAGTCTATTCTGCACAGAAGCGAGCGTTCCCAGGGGATATTGGATTCCATTCTGCACAAAATATAAATCACACCAATATGCCCCAGTATGGGGTGGCTACCTTGGCCACTATATCAGACACCTGAAGCTCTAAGCAATTTCATTTACTGATATCATGTGCTGTAAAGCTTTTTATGTTTTTTAATGCAAAATTTATCAAAAATGTTGAACGTCTTTTGCAATCAAAACAGTAAAATAAAAACAAATTGACACAATTTTTTTCAAAAATACTTTTATTGATTGATTGGCCAATAAATAGGCTTTTACATCAAAAAGCAATTCCTGAAAAGAGGTAATTGCATACAAAACATATAGAAGAGAAAACAAAGACGACAATGTGAGTGCGGATTTATCGAGTACAACTCTGCTACCGCTCTTATGACCTCAATGCTCCTCAGTATCTTGCCTTGTGAATAAACCGATTGGACTGATGCTTCCCGAGCTAACCCAAGAATAACTTAAGTTGATATTACAAATGCAATGCAGACTGTAGTATTCGCTTTCAATCCTTAACTTTTTCTTGGATCACCCTTCCGAGTTTTCAATCCACCGGGATACCCTTTTTTCCTAAGCTACCTTTGACAGGTTCGACTTAGCGGGTGTATAATTATTTTTCACTCATTCACTCTTTCTTTTATCCCTATCTTTTTCCCGAACCTATGCTCTCTTAGGTTCGCCGGGATTCCCTTTTTTTCCTGAGCCAGTCAACTCATTGGTCACTTTATGCGAAGTACTTTTTCACTACATCTGTGTTGACGGGGTGAGGGAAATCCTCTTCATCCATAGTTGTGTGCATCATAGATCCTCCTGAAAAAACTTTCTTTACAACATATGGTCCTTCATAATTAGGGGCCCGTTTGCCCCTAGCACCTGTATTGTTGGAAGGCAAGATCCTCTTCAGCACTAGATCACCAGCTTGAAAGTTTCGCGGATGTACCTTCTTGTCGAAAGCTTTCTTCATCC